GGGCTTTTGATCTGGAAGCCGGGACGACATGTGTTCTACAGTGAAGAATGCTTCAGACAACTTCCTCTCCACTTCCTTTGCCTCCCTGACAATTCTGGGCCTCCCTGCCCCTCTCCAGCTGCACCTGGAGACACTGTTTGTACAAGCAAGCTTATTAAGGCCTGTCCTTAACTTGACACAGACGACGTCTCTGAATGTCACATGTTGGCGAACCTGCTTGCTTAGCGTAGAACACTATTTTTAGTAAGCACCAAAAAAAACCCCATGATACTTTATCCCAGCACCTCGTTTGTCCCTGTTTGTTTACTGGGCTGTGTCTCACAGAGACCTGGGGGCCAGGGGAGGGCAGAGCCACGTCTAATCCGTCTCTGTGCCCCCACGGGGCCTGGCACCAAACCAGCATTCAGGGAGTGTTTGCCGAGAGAATGAGGTTTTAATTGTCCCCTGTGAGTGGGCTGAGAGCAGGTGTTCCTGAACTGAAGTGCAGGTGACATCAGGGAACGAGCCACAGTAGGGACTGTGTGTGACTGTACCCGAAAATGGGAGAAAAGGCAGTGGAGGGCAAAGGGGACCTGCCCCAGGGGGCATGTGCTCATGCACGGCATGTGTGTGTGTGTGTGTGCGCTCCAGCAGTGGGTGTATATTCAGGACCCGGGGCTTTTGTCAGCTTTCAAAGGTCTGTGACCCAGGAAGTGTAAGGATCACCAGAACAGACTCTGCAAGCAATGACCAGGAGTATGTTTTCCCTTCTGCAAGGGCAAAGTCAGAGACACATGCATAAGCTTACCAGGAATCGAAGGAGGGGTGCACCAGACCCACTGAGGCAAACCAGAAGTGAGCATTCCCAATATGTCAGTCCCTAACACAGCCCAGAGGACATCTGGCATCTCTGGAGGTGACTAGGGATTCCCAGTACCCATCTGTCTCTCCCAATGTGTTACCAGTTAGGAGAAGTAAGAATCCATTGAACTCCCAAGCACACACATGGAATTAAACTTCTCATCAGTCAAAAAGCCGGCATTGCCCTCATCTAAGGTGGGGACAGGAGCCCTGGTCAGGACTCCCAAAGCCGTGTCCCTATTCCTTCTGTTACTATGTACTCAGCCATCTCCCTCAGCAGAAGAAAGATAAGAATCTGCTTAGTATGACTCTAGGCAAATAAATTTGGAAGTCTAGACAGATAAAATGGATAATCTCTTTAGAGGCAGTTTACCAAAACTGACTCCAGTAGAAATAGAAACTGTAGACAGACCACTTCCCACAGACGCAATAGACAAAGCGATCCGGGAACCATCATCAAAAGGTACCAGGTCCAAATGGCTTCACAAGGGAATCCTATGACAACCTCAGAAACTGGTTAATCCCAACAATACACTGTTCCTGAGCATAGAAAATAAAAGATGCTTAAACCTAATAGCACACAAAAAGGGACAAATATTATTATTACAGACAAATATCACTCCTGCATACGGCTGAAAGAAATCTTCCAATGTTGTCAAACCAACATGGGTGCTACCACCATAGAAAATAATACACAGTCACCAAGTGAGGTTTATACCAGCAGTGTTTGAATAGAAGTCAACATGCAAAAATCTAAGAAAAATAAAGCCACACTTTTCCATTGCTGCTAAAAGGTTTGACAAAGTTCAACTCCCGCTCCTAATCAAAACTCTCAAAAAAAATGGGAGTGGATGGATACTTCCTAGACATAGTTAAATACATACACCTCAATCCTAAAGCCAACACTAGAGATTCTCCTGCTGGGGTCAGAAACCAGGAGGGATGCCTACCATTTCCACGCCTATGAGCATGCTACTAGTGAAATCAGCCAATGCAATCAGACAAGAGAAAACAATTAGAGGGTCCAGCTCAACGAAGGCAGGGGCCAATTCTTATTCTGTTACATCCCCAGGATAGGTACTCAACAGTTAGTTGGATGAGTAAATGAATAATGGCTCACATTAACTGAGCACCTCTATTAACAAAATCAAGGATTTAACAAAAACGCTAGCAACAAATCACACTGTTAGTGGATTTAAATGGATTAACTCATCCAAGGCACACAGCTTTATGAGATAAGTACTATTACTTCAGCCATTTGACTGATGGGCAAACAGAGGTTCAGAGAGGTTAAATGACTTGCCCAAGATCACTGTTGGTAACTACCTTAAATTCCAGTGTTGCCATGGTGCCAGACCCCTTACAAACCATTTCACATGTGTCTCCCACCCAAGGAGGGAATGAGGAATCCTCCGGAATGCAGGCTCTGGAGTAGGTCTGCCAGGCTCGTATTTCAGTCCTGCCATTTACCAGCTCTGCCTTTTGGGGAAGATTCCCTCCCCTCTCTGTGTCTTAGTGTCGTCTGTATGATGTGGAGATGACCATGTCTACCAGCTCAGGTTGGAGGAGTTATCATATGAGCTAATAAACATCTGCCTCATGCCAAGGCTCCATAAAACAAGCACGACTTCCCTGAAGTCCCCTCAGCACCTTCACCAATCTCTAACAACATCTGTCCCATTAACAGCCTTTCTCCTTCTTTGGATTTTGCCAAGCTCATGCCCAGAGTTACAGGTAACACCTCACACACATCACCATCACACTGTCCCCTGAGACAAAGCCCAAGAGCAAGATTAGGACCAGTGTTGGCCCTTGGGGAGTTCCACCACCCAGAAGCAGAGAAAGGGGACCTCTATTAAACATCTGGGTGAGCCAGAGCCAGACCCACATCTGGAGCAGCTCACGTTAGCCTCTCAAGGCTCGAGATGTCCCTTTGGAGTCATGATGTTTCTGTGCCACCTACCTCCCAGCAAGGTGTCACTCTGTTACAGACCCCAGAGCATAATTCCCCATCCTTCACAGGGGGGTGGCACCCAGTAACTTCTTCCCAAGGGGCGCAGTTTGGAAAAGAGTGACTTTACTGTGGAGACACCTGACATGCCCTTCCTTGGCCAGATCATCAAGGTCAATGTCAGTGGTGATAAAGCGGATAGTAGGGACCCTAGCCAGGGCGTGATGGAGGTGGTCACTTTACATTTGTGCTCCTCCCCCCCAAAACCCATGCCCCGTCTCACCATGAGAAAACACATTAGAAAGACCCTAACTGTGAGATCGAACCAGTGCTCCTCAAAATTGTCAAGCTCATAGAACACAAAGACAGTGTGAACTTGAACCAAGCATGGACTCTAGGTCATAATGATGTATCATTATTGGTCCCTTCATTATAACGATGCTAATACAGACTAATGTAAAATGTTTACAATATGGAAAAGTGGGTATTGGGTATATGGGAACTCTTTGTATTATCTTTACAACTTTTCTGTAAATCTAAAACTGTTCCAAAAAATAGTTTATTAAAAAAAAAGAAAACAGATTCCAGGGCTTTCACTATGGTCATTTAGATACCCATCTGGCAGCTTCTAAACACCACTGCCAAGAAAAACTATAAAAAGCACCTCCCATCAGATTTGGCTTGGAAACTATTTCCCCGGAAATCACCCCCCTGCCAAAAAAAAAAAAAAAGTTAGCTGATTATAAATCCAGGAGGGGTGTATGTATTAGTCCCCTGCAAAACATGACTTTAATCTTCACGAACAGAAAGACCACTGATGCTAAAGGGATCACGTGCAGATTCCAAATCCTATCTTTTCAAAGCGAAGGATGGCCTCCAGATTGCAACTTGAGAAGATGGGTCTGTCGTGCTGGCTAATTATTTCCATCTCCAGCCAAAATGCAGAATAATTACTAATTACTGTCTTCACTTGGTATCCAAGGGAAGGGAAGGGGACCCCTGAGGTCAAAACAAGCCCCTCACCTAAGGTGGCCAGGGAAGACGCGTGCAAGGCAATTAAAACTTCGCATCCATCTGCCTATCCGGCGTCTCTGGGAAATGGGGAGCCCCCACCCACCACCTGGGTGGGTGAGCGTGCTGCCTACACAAGCAGCCAGCACAACCCCTTCCTGCACTCCGCAGGCCACGGCTGGGCCCCAGCGCATCTGGAAGTTACCAGTAAGCCTACCCCTGAGGCTGCAACAAGTATTGGCTAGGTCGGGCTGTCAAAATCAGGAAGCCTGGTTGGGTTTTTTTGTTTTTTTTCCAAGACAACCTGCTAACCAGAAAAACACAGCGAGGTTGGGTGTGTGGCCTCCCCCTCCTCCTTCTGACAAAGGCTCCCGTTGAACACGTGAAGTGACAGCCCGGGACGGGGATGTCCCCAGCCCCTGGCGGCAGAGGGCACCGGAAGGCACGGACTGACAAGCAGGTTCCTTGGGCAGAGCCTGGCTGAATCCACAGGCCAGCTTCCCCTCTACCCGCTGGACCCCCTCCACCCCTCCCAGCCCCCACAGCCATTATGACTGTGGGGTGTGGACGTGGGAACGGTGCGAATAAGCTCAGGCCGATCAAGCCCACTGGCAAAGGCCGCAGCACCACCCAGGGAGGAAATGGGCCGGCCTCCTGACAGCGCAGTCAAACCACACCGCAGCTCTAGACACAGACACCCTCTTCCTTAGCTTCAACACAAAGTCCCCAGGCGAAGGCCGCCAGTCGCTGCAGAGGCGGGGAGATCAGCTTTCACCTGCCCTGACCATTAATTAGGTGCAGCGGCAACCTCCGGGAGCACCAGCCCCTCCCATAACTCCACTCCTTGGCTTCCTCACCTCCTCCCCCCAAAGGGGAATTGGTCACTTTCTTTGCCCTCTGACTACCCGGCAGACACGAAGGCAACGGAGACCCCTGCCACCTTTTGCTACCTCCTCCCTCGGGGAGAAGTCACGGTAATTGGAAGTTGACGCTCTATGAGGCAAGGGTGCGCCTACCGCCCCCTAAGGGCGGCAGCAGTCCCCGACGCCGCACGCCCTCCCTCTCACCTGGGGACAGGCGCCCCCTCACCAAGCCCCCCAGAAGTGGGACATCTGGAGCAAAGGGGCCCTGTGCCGACTCCCCAGGCCCAAGCCCCAGCCCAGGCTGGGGGGCCAGGCCGGGGGGAGCCTCCACCGACCTTCAGGAGGGTTCATATAGTCATAGTTGAAGAGCATGGAGAAGTCCAGCTCTTCTTGGGGGCTGTCCCCTGGCTCGTGGCCCAAGGCGCCCCTTCCGTCGGGGTCTAGCTGCTGTTGCGAGGCTTCCATGGCGCGTAAGGAGACAGGAGGGCTGCGGGGCCGGGACGAGAGCAGGCTCAGCTTTCTCTTGGGCCCTTCGCCGGGGCTGACAAAGTGGCAGGAAGCAGGCGGAGAGGCAGGTGAAGTGGCGGGGGTCACTGTCCTCGTGGGGACCGCCGCGGGGTCTGGGATGGCGTGCCGAGCTCAGCGGGTCTGGACGCGCCTGGAGAGCTGAGCAGCCGCAGCGGCGCAGCGCGAGCTTCCTGCTCGGGGAGGCACCTGTTGCAGCCCTGGGAGGGGGGAGGCGGGGACAGGGCGGCCAGGCCAGCGGGGGCGGGGCCGCCACCCAGGGACCCAGGGGAGGGAGAGGGAGGCGGGCGGCCCAGGCTAGCCAGCGCCCCGCAGGAAGGAGGCCGGCTGCCTGCTGCCCTGGCCCCCAGCTTAGCTACCGGCTGGGGGCCACAGCCACTCTGGGAGGCCACTGCCTGCCACCCTGCAGGGGTGAGTGCTGCTGGCCTTGCCCCACCCAGAACCTAGACAAGAAAACTGCTGCCGCTTGTAGTTTTGCCCTAGTGACCAGCTGATCCCAGTCTTTTCCCTCTTTTCTTCCCCAAGGGGGCAGACCTGTAACTCCGTGTGCCTCTGATAGCCCACAGCTGTGGCATGATCTGCATCCGAAGTTCAGTCACCTGCTCGGCCCTAACTCAGTTCCCCAGGACCTGGGAAAGAATCGCAGACACTCAAAGCACAGGCCCCATCTACACCTCTTGGCCAACCACCTGTCGAGTGTGCCAGGTGCCAGGGACGCAGCCTGAATGGGACGGGCGATGGCCGGGGAGAAGCTCCGGTTCTGGCGAGGGACAGGCGTGAAGGCAGCACAGGGGAGAGCAGAGACAGCCTCCTGTAGGGTGTCAGCAGAGAACTCGCCGGGGGTGTGGTGCGGACTGGGGAGGCTTCAGAGACTTCTGTGATCACAAAGGACCTCTCTCAGGAGGGGACATTTGCAGGAACCTGGTTGATGGGAGGATGGGGGCGGGGGAGACTGTTCTGGCAGCAGGAACCAAAAGAAAGCAAAAGCCAGCGGGAGCTCAGCGTGTTGCAGGCTGAGTAAGGAGGGCTGTGGCAAGTAACAAGCACACCTGGATGCTTGTGAAAAACAGATTCCCAGGCCCCCTCACTCGGGATTCTGATTCCAGACGTCTGGAGTAGAGGCTGGGGAGTGTGTATTTTTAAGCAAGCACCCAAGGTGCCTGTTATGAACGGGGACGTTTGGGGAACACCGCATAAAAACGCAGAGCCATCCCTTAATGAAACAACCCCAGGGCTCTGGGCGAGTTAGGTGAAGTCAGAACACAGACTTGTGGAGGCAGGAAAGATCAGAATAGTGGTCTTCTACCCTAATGGAACATTAGAAGCACCTGGAATGTTTTTACACAAGCCTGTGCTCAGGTTCCAATCCAAACCCAATGCATGAAAACATGGAAAAGTTGTTTTCTGGGTTTTTTTTTTTTTTATGATCTACAAGGCATCTAATGTGCAGCCAGCATTGAGAATCACTGGATTGGAAGAGGGGGTGGGAGAGGTTTGGGGATTTCCTGAGCTTGACCTTGTGTGGGGACTTGCCCCCACCGTTCCCCGTGAACCGGAGGCACGAAGAATACACACTCTTTGCGGTAGGGAGGGGCATCTTCTCTGCTCCATGGAGGGATGTGTGCGAAGCTATCCTTCATCATTCACTCCACGAATATTTCTGGGGCACCTGCTAGGGGCCTGGTGCTGCTACCGATCACAGGATGCAGCCGTCTGAAGGTTACAGCTTCCGCCCTCCTCCTGCTCCAATCCCCAAAGCAAAGCAGAGCGGCAGGGAGCAGGTTTCCCAAACTGCACCTAGGCCACTGCTGCCCAGCCCGAGCTGCACATCAGGCTCTCCTGGAGAGCCGGTTAATGGCCCCCCCAGACGCCAGTCATGATCAGAATGTTTCAGATGCGGCCAGGGGTGAGCACCCCTGCTTTACATTCAAACTCCACTCCAGGGGCCAGGGCCCGGCTCAGGACTCACCAAATTTCAGAATCTTGGGAAGCACTTTCTAGTTGTCAGGCTACAAAGAAATCCTCTTTGGTCCCTACTCATCAGCACAGCTATGCTGGGGGGGGGGTATGCACCGAAGGGGTGGGTAATAAGTTTAGGTGGGGGAGGGGAGGTGACGCAGGCGAGGACACTCACAGCGGAACATCAAGGCGATGGGTGCTCTCAGTCTTGACAGGCCCCAAAGCCCAGCCCCGAAACCTGGCGGGGGGTAAAGAACGAACCAGCCTGCCCTCGTGCGGTACACCAGCAGAAAGCCCGGCATTATCCTCACCTGTCTCGTCCCCCCCCCATAATGATTAAATGCCTCCGCTCTAGTGGACATGGGTTGGTGCTGCCCACCCGGAATCATTCCCCCTTCGTCCGAGAACAGCGCTCAGTGTGTTCCTTTGGGAAACTACTCGGCCTACCTTGGTCCTACCTAAGAGAAGTACCTGAGGATCATGGCCTCTTGGCCCCCAGCACCACTGCTGGGGGCTCTGAGTCCTGAGGCCCCTTCCACTCGGCCCTGGAGGGACCCACAACCCAGAGCTCTACCCTCCTTTTCCCCTACTGGTATAAAGCTCCTTTTTATCCACAGCCTGTACCTCTCCCCTGAAACCTGGGCTCAGATGTCCCACTGCCCACCACCCCACATCTCCACATGGGGGTATCCAACAAGCATCTCAAAGGGAACGTGTCCCCACCAAACCCTGGTATCCTCGGGAACATCCCCCGCCTTCCCAGCTCAGGTACTGCCTGCCTGCACCTTCATCTGGTTCTCCAGCCGAACTCCCAGGAGTAGCCCTGGGTTCCTCTCCTCCCAGCACACGCAGACCCAGGCAGCTCCATCTTCAAAATGTAACCCAAACCCAGCCATTTCTCCCCCACTTCACTGCCCTTCCTCCTGCCCCAGTGACCCCAAGTCCCCATCACCTGTCACCTGGAGGACCGCAGCGGTCCCCTCCCTGCTTCTGCCGCCGCGGAACAGCCAGAGGGTCCTTTCACACCAGAAATCCCAGCATCCCCCTCTCGGCTTCCCATTAAGCGTGACTGCAAACACCTGGCCTACTCCGGCAGCGGCCCCGCCCCCGCTCCCCTTGGCATCACATGCCGCCCTCCCCTTGCCTCACTGCCTCTGCCACTGTGGACCTACTTTTGCCCGGCTCTAAATTATGTTTGGTCTGCCCTGTGATTTTTCCTAAAAATCTGAAGTGACGTTTTTTTCCTAATTGAGAGATTTCATATAAACATCCAGATGTCCAATGTCTCCTGAGAAATGGGAAGATCTGGCCGCAGCAGATGGAGACCAGTCCCCTGGAGCTGAGTGAGTACGGACCACCCCCTTCAGGTCCCCACCGACCCCGCCCAGCTGTCCCCATCTGGCCCCAGGAGCATGTGAGCTTGACACCCTGGTCTCGGGTTCTTGCCTCCTTCCACCTGGTTTTGTCTCTCCTTGTCACGCCCAGCTTCACAGCAGGGTCCCCTCTGCCCGTGGAACCGGCATTTAACCAGGGCACTGGGGCAGCACACTCACCACGGCCTGAAACTGCTGTCCTTGTCTTTCATGAAACAGGAGATGCCAACCCCCGACCCTGGGGAGCTGCGCCTCCTCCTGAGTGAAGGGGCAGGTGAGGGTGAGCCCCCGCCACCCCCGCAACTCTCTCAACCATCTGCCTTCTCGCGGTCCCCACTGCCACCCTCCCGTCAACCAGCCTGTCCCCCTGGATGACAGCACCAACGTGTCTGCCATCTCCACCCTCTCCCCTGCCGTGGTCTTGGCACCTCTCACATCTGTGTCCACCGCTTCATAATCTTCGAACCAGGGAGTGACAAGGACAAGCAAGCTGACTCCATCAGGGCTTCCTTCAGCACGACCACAGCCCCCGCCCACCCCCCAAAAAGCACATGGCATGTCCTCTGACTTCTCGATCTTTCTTTCCCATCGAGACCTCACTGGAATTCCTTGATCATTCACTGAGCACCTAAATGGCTTCACACAGGAGTGGGTCTCGACTGCTTCACCACAGACTCTTCACCCGACTTTCAACTGCATACGAGCATGTCTTACCGACACAGAGGGTAGACTTTTCTCTGCAGCACCTGCCCGGAGCGCTGCAGCCAGAACACCCTCCACAAACACCTCCGGACTCACTGGGTCAAGGGCAGAAGAAGCAGATGGTCCAGACCCCACAGAGAGGACCCCAGGGCGTTGGAGGAAAAAGGGTTTATCCCCTTCGGGAAGGTCTTCTGAAGGCTATTATGCTGAAGGAACGTAATAATTTGAACTGAAACAGTAAAACAACAGGGAAAATGGCAGCTGAGGTCGCCAGGCCCCCTTTTCCACACTGAGAGCATCACGGACATGCCCTGTGGACCCCCCATGTGTAAGGGTCACTACGACCCCCGCTGAGGCACAGAGGAGGTTGTGGTGTTCCTTTTAAAAGTCACACGTGCCACCACAGAAATGGTTTTGTCCCACAGAAATCTGATACTCATTACTGAGTCACATTGTTCCTGGGCTATTAGTGGAGGGTGGATTTGCTAAGAAACATTTTTGGACCGAGATGAAACGCGAAAGAAAAGTCTTATGACTCCCGGCGATAGCAGAGGGTGAGGGTGAGCTGACGGGGGGAATCCGGGCTGGGCCGGGAGGAAGACACGTCGCAGGGGTTCGTTCATGGAATTCGCAGAATTAACCGCCTCTACCCTTGGGCGTCGAAGGCAGGCAACATCCCTGCAGAACCGCCGCCTTTCGAGAACCGCAAAGGAGAATGCACTGCGGACCAGGAGTACCCTGCTCCCCTCCTCCTCCCACTCGGGGGTCCCAGCCACCGTGTCCGGTCTGGCCCCTGCAGCAGCTGCCCACCAGCATCCTGAGCATTTACGCTTACCTGGTTAGAGGCTGTTCTCCACCTAAAGGTCAATACACCCCTCCGAAGATTCACAGGATCATACTCCTGCTGCTTAAACTTCCCCCAGTGCATCCCCACTGCCCTGCGAATGGACTTCCAACTGCTCACAAGGATCCTGCGCGAACCTGCCCTGGCACGCCTCCGTGGTCTGGTCCCCTGTCCCAATTGCCACCCTCCTTTGGTTCCAGCCACACGTCTTCTTGCTGGTCACTGGATATACCAAACACACATCTCCCCTCGAGGCCTTTGCACTCATGGTTTCTTCTGCCTTGGATGGCCGACCCCAGACGTTTTAC